TGCACAAGACACAAGTCTGCTAAATGGTTACTAGAGTGATCTGGATGGTTGCTTATACATTCAGGAGTAAAACCATGATGGCGGATATAGCGATAACCAAAGCTACATTTTAGTGTCTTGCGTCTTTGAACAAAACAAAACAAAAAAGGATGCCAACAGTTAGTACCAACAGCAAGACATCTTAAGAGTTTTAAATTTTTAGTGGTCACTAGCGATGGTTTCCATTCAAGTTAAGAATTTCATTTAAACGAAAAATTGGAATCCTAAAAAAATTAAGGAATGTGTTTCACAATTAATTGCGTTAAAATAAACACAACATTATAATAATATAAACAAATTAAATTTGAAAAAAGAAAAAAAAAGATAATCCAAAAGTGTTTTCTTACAGATTAAATAAATATTGCAAAAAAAAAAAAAAATGGTTCAAATGAATAAAATAAACTAATAAAATTCCATTATAATTTATGCAAATGTTTTATTACCAATTAAAAAAACTGTGCAAAAACAGTTTATTGGTGATTATGTTCGACCAATAAATAAATTGATAAAATAAACACAAATAACATAAAAAAACATAATAATTATGCAAATATATTCTTACCAAATAAAAATACTGCAAAACCTATTCATTGGTAAATGTGGATCACTAATAAACACATTTATTACAATAAACGTGTGATGCCCTCGACTAAGGATTTTTCTGGTCGACTAGTATTCGTTCATTTTAAGCATTAGTCGACTAATCGCACATTTATTAATAAACCATTTAAATCATTATAATGAGCCTTTAATTGCCTACAAAGCCTAATAAGCGCTCAAGCGCACGCATAAAGCTTGCCACAGGGCACCGCAGAAGCTATGATTATGAATGTGTCAGGGAAAAACAGTAAGGAGGCTCCATTAACATTTTAATAATTCACTGATAAACTAGTGCTTTCTTTGTTCTCGGTTTAAGAGATTAAGTCGGAGACACTGACACGTCATCTCCACAGTAGTGGATGCATCTGTATGCATGTTTCACACGGATTACATAATCTGAGAATATTTGGTTTCCATTTGAATTGGTTCATTTGAAAGTAGACATTTCACTCTCTATAGATATATTTTTAATGTCTGTAAGGCAAAGACATACACTGAGTTTCACGCTCAAGTTCACAGAGACCGAGACGGCAGAAAGCGCATCCTGATTGCTTTCATTATTTTACAAAAGCACGTTTTGTTGTTATTGTGAGTGCACACAAATAAATGTAGTCTTTGCAGATTTAAAAGATGTATTACTCTTATCTGTATGACCAGAAATGACGGAGTATTTTAAGAGCAAGTGAGCGCAACGGCGCCTCCATCTGTCCTGCAGTGAGCGCAGGGCTTGCAAAATCGCTAGCCCGACGTCCCGGGGCTATTGTGTTTTCGAGTCAGGCTACCAAAATGTATCACCACTCTGCCTGACGGGCTATCTTAAATACAGATCTCCCGTGGGTCCTTAAAATCTCCTGTTTTCCAGTCGGGCTACCAAAATGTATCACCACTCTGCCTGACGGGCTATCTTAAATACAGATCTCCCGTGGGTCCTTAAAATCTCCTAAAGTGAGTTGTATCAAACTTAAGGTCATAAAAAGTTTTAAATACGTTAAATGGTATAATAAATGTCTTAATTATAATTTCAAGAGGTCTTACAGTTGGGGATGGAAAGACAAGAGTCGTGAATCACGATGCGGCTGGATTAAACTTCAAAAGGCAATGATGTCATTGAATAAATATAAGCGCTGCATGTTTCAAGTCAAAACCATAGACTGTATAAAAACAGGTCAAAACGCACTGAGCTGCTTTGTGTACATCCATTACCGGGGAAACCGCAATATTTCAGCGCTCCTAAAGCGCCACCTCGTGGCAGAGAATGAATTTGCATTTCCAATAAGCCTTTCTTGTGGTTTATGGTCAGATCAATGCAAATATCAACACATGTTTTTACGCAGCAAACACAGAGTTGTATATAAGAAAGAAGTTAATGTGCCTTCTAAAAAGCTAAACAATTAAGACAGTAATAGTACATTTATACGTTTTAAATTAATTTATATGCTTGATTTATCCCTTTTCATAAAAATGGTCTAAAGGCTGAAATGCTGTTGTATAAGATTTTTTGTTTTTGTGAAAACCTGTATCTGAACTGTAAATCATGTAATTTTATGGCTCAGTACTGCATGTTACCACAGACATTGTCCAACCCCACTCATACTGTGTTCATTTTACTTGTGCAGCTCTTAAAATGGGTCATAAATTGCCTTACATTCATTTTTAAAAATTCAGCAGATACCCTGTAAATAGTGAAATAAAATTCCTTCCTTCATATTTGTTGATATTAGTGTATTGAAAAAATATATATATTTTTTTTTAGATTTATTTTTGGCATTTTTTTATGCCTTTTATTTAGATAGGACAGTAAGTCGACAGGAAGCGAAGTGGGTGAGAGAGAGAGGGGAGTGGGATCGGGAAAGGTCCACGAGCCGGGACTCGAACTCGGGACGCCCGAAGCGCAAAGGCGCTACATGTCGGCGCGCTGCCCACGAGGCCATCTGCGCCGACAGTGTATTGAAAATATTTTTGATCGACATTTAAACTCCTATCAGATTTTCTATATTTTTTATTTATTTTATTTTTTAAAAAAGGTCTTTTTTTATTTGGGCTAGTTAAATTAATTTTCGGGCTACCAAAATTTGAAGAGTACCTGCCCGAAGGGCTACCAGGGATTTAGAAATTTTGCAAGCCCTGGAGCGCGCTGCTGTTCAGCTTCTGCACAGACACTTGACATTTTTCTAGGTTAACATTAGATTGAGCAGCCATGTAAAGTTGCTACTACTTACATATTTCAGATGATAAGCCACATTTGTGGTGGATGAATGATAGGCGAGTGTTTGGATGTCCTGCCGGATTTACTGTATTACCATAGACCAGCTGTTAACGATCTGTGTGACTTCGCCAATGTGGATTTTTTTTTTTTCTGCGACTAAGCGACTAATCAAATTTTGGTCGACCAAGCCTCTTCTGGTCGACTAAAGATTAGTCGACTATTAGGGGGCAGCCCTACAATAACCACAATATAAATAAATATAATTTACATAATAAAATTAACCTAAAAATGTCAATAATATTTCTATATATAAACAAAAAAAACTGTTATTTGCATTTTGGAAAAATGTATTCTCATACTGTGACACCTCAAAAGCGGCAAAATAAATATGTGGATGGAAACCCAGTTAATGTGGTGTCACTGCATGAACAGGATTCAGAAGAGGAGTAAAAACAGATCCAGCTGCTGTGTGTACGTTGCTTATAGTATTTTGGTCCTGCCTTCAATGTCCAATGTCCATCAGATAATTTTTTCTATTTCATCAAAAATAAATAAATAAAATAAAATAAAACAATTCCAAAAGCTTCAAAAACTAATAGCACAGCATTAATGAACGCTCTGAGAAATGTCCTCCCTTAATAATAGCTTGTGAAAATTCTATTTTCAGTCAGAATGACATTTGCAACAATTCTTCCTCTTATCGTCCAGTGTAAACGCACGTCTAGGGAAAATGCCTTGGCTCCAAATTTCCAGCAAGTGTCAAACGAGACGAACAATGAAGCGAGTGAGAAAGTTCCCAGTGTTTCACAGACTATGAGTGAAAGAAGCGATTGTGTGATTGACACATACAGATGGACACTTGTGAGAGAAACACAGAAGCAGGTCCAGAAGCCGCTGACCAGGTTGGGTCTGCCACGGCATGAGGGGCTTGCTGGATGTCAAAGGAATAGCTGATCCAAAAAAGAAAATCTGTCATTATTTACATACCCTTATGGTTGTTTCAAACCCGTATGTTTCTGTTTATTCTTATGACACATACAAACTACCAGCATATGGCTTTGGAACAACATCATGAGGGTGAGTAAAGAACACAATTTTCATTTTTGGAAGAACTATTGCTTTAAATTTGTATGCGAATTTGAGGCGGACACATTAAAGTGTTTCTGTTGTACTCACTTCCTGTTCCTCCAGGGAGCAGGGCACAAAAGCTTGCATACTCGGTTTAAAAGAATGCCAACCCTCTAGGGCAAATCACAGCGCAGGAAACTGAGAACAGTTCTGAACATCTGAATCTATCTTTCATTTGAGAAAGTGAAGCAGTGAGTCATCTAAGCCACACTGAATCCCAAATGAACTCATAATACATCTGAATCAGATTATGCCACGTGGCACCACTGCAGATCAAACCCTTGAGACTGGAACGTTTATACTGGGGACGGGCAGTCAAGCGCTCGTTTAGCACCAACTAGTTGATTAGCAAAAAGACAATTCAGATTACTTACAAAAGGATTTTCAAATTTATGATGGGAAGAGAATGTGAAGAGCTACGAGAAACTGAAGTTTAACAGTTTTTTTTGTTATTTCTACATTGCATTTTTTTATTAGTATTTTTAATTTAATAATTAAAAATATGAAAAAGATTTAAAAACAACTTTTTTTAAATAAAATGTTTCATTAAAACATCAAAATGTAAAAAAAAAATTCAATTTAATTCTTCCCAATAGAAAAGCACATGCTGTTATATTTACAGTACGAGTTAACTACACAGTTTTTCATCTAGGATATATATTATTAATATTTAAAACATTTTATATTCATTATTATAGTAAATATAAGCATGATCTATGGTACATATTTTTTTTTTCTACTATAATAAATAAAAGCAATGTTTTTACATATATAAATGCACATTTTCATTTTCATATAAATGCACATTAATTTTTATTTATTTATTTGTAAAACATTACTTTTCGGCTTGTAATTTTCAGCACATTCTGACTGTTTATGCAAACACATTTCTAGCATTATCTACATATTTGATTAAACAAATTACTTGATTTTTATTATGCGTTTGAATACTTAAAGACTACAAAATAACTCAAAATGCCCATCAGTTGATGAGTGTCATTTATCAGAGGTTTGTTTGGTTTCTTACCTCTGCGCTGCTCACGCGACCTTCCTGGAAAGAGCACTCGGCAACGTTATTAGTGCAGATGTGGCGATATTTACACCAGTTGCAGGGGAAAGGGCTGCTAACACACGACGAACACCTGCAGAGGAGGAAAAAAAAAGAGAGTTACATGAGAGGTCTGTTCTGAGCACATAAAACAAGTCATCTGTGAACTCAGCCCAAGTTTTTACTGACTTTAGAGTTAAACCACAATGTAACTGACTATTATACCACAAAATCCACCCCAAAACTGGTTTTGTTTAATAGTCTTATTCCAAGTTTTGAAAGCATATTTTACATAGTACAAAGTAATTTAATTCAGTGGTTTTATGCGATCACAAACTGGCTTTGATGTAAAATAATATTTTATATATATATTTATAAATCATATACATTGCAAATAAATAATAAAATATAAAAAATAAAATTATTATACATTTTATTATAAAATTTAGACAGACAGACAGACGGATAGATGACAGACAGACAGATAGACAGATAGATAGACAGACAGACAAGACAGATAGATAATCCATAATCCATACATTTTTATGCTTTTTTCCCCAGACAGTTTAATTGATTACAATAGAAATGATCTAGTTTTGTTTTGTGTCACTTTAACCAGATTGACTTTCCTGTCAGCATCTGAAAATAGCACTGTCTGGTTCAAAACCACCATCTTTTCGGTGCAGAACCGGATTTTCTTCATGGAAACGAACAAAACAGGGCCATATTTGGCAGTTGCTGTCAATGGAAACGGGACACACACAAGAAATAAAAATCCAGTAACCAAACCAGATCTACACCCAGAAATACAAGAAGTTGGAACTACGACTCGTTTGGTATCTTCAGCAGCGACCTAAACTCTCTGTCCTCAACTGAACCTCTGGCTCAAGTCATTAATTCCCTCAATTCTTCGAATACTTCGCCTATAAATCACATCATTGTCCTTGGGAACATTTTGAACGAGCCCCGGGCCAGACTTAAACTCTCGTAGAGACTTTCTCGGCGTGAATGAAGACGCCGCTGTGGAAATCTGAGCGGTCAATGTGTCACAAATCCGCTCTTTCACTTCAACACACACAATTAATCCTCGAGGGCCATTGAACACCCGACTCGTTCGCGCCGCTTCTCAATTAGTCATTAACCCGACCCTGAAAAAGTCTTGTAGACAGCGGCCCTAATGACATTCCCAATTAAACAGTCACGTCCTGCTGAGAAACATAAGTAGGCGGCACCTGTGGACTCGAACGCGAGTACCCAACGAAAGGCCAATCGTGCCACGAGAGATGAAGCGCATGCTGTGAGAAGGTTTGCGGACACTTCCGGCAGGGCGATTTTTTCCATCTCATGCTGTCTCTCATCTGCCACTGGTCCCATATGGAAAGCCCACGCAATACGCCATCCTAATCACATCCTTCCCTCTGGAGGCATGGTTCAGATCGCCTTCAGAGAGCACTCGACAGTCCGAGCACACCACACCTGGAGCTGCATTGCTCAGTATAATCTCGTTTCGCTCTCGGGAGGAGGAAAAGATCCTCTGCTCCTGTTTGAAACATCCCAGACGTTGGCACTGGCAAAATTACACCGACCGCTTTCTTGCACAACAATCTCTGGCGGAACAATTGAAAGCGTACGGATTATCATGGGTCATTTAAAACAAGTTAATGCATTTTCTTTGCAGTATGGGTGCGTTTGAACTTGCTAAATCTAATATTACTGCCGACAGGGGTTCGGCGTGGGTGTGTTTTTTAGCACGCTGGAAGGCAAAGATGCAAACTAGAGCTGATGGAGGAGGGTGCAGCGCTCCACTGCAGCTGAAATGCGTTGTAAATACTGCAAACCGATCTGCAAGTCTCGCCTGAAATATGCAAAATGCTGTGTCAGGGGTTTAAGGTCCATCAATTCACTCAGCTTTAATTTGAGCGTGGGCTGAAAAACACAGCACGGCCAAATGGTGACACTCTGATGAAGTGAGTGCTTTACCATCACTGGGAGTCTGGGCTGGACTTTCAGCGCAGGCAAATCTGGAGTTTGTGCACTATAGTCAAACTGAAATAAAAAATTGACCATATTTAAGTTCTTAATACAAGTTTCTGGCCTCGATTCATCTGTGCATATCATTACAAAGGTCACAACAAATTATTTCTCTTTCTTTCTCTTTCTTTCTTTCTCTCTTTCTTTCTTTCTTTCTTTCTAGCAAATAGTAATACAATGGTCTACCTCTAGAATGCCCTCTTTTCACAATCCAATCAATTCATAATGGATAAAATCAAGCCTTCAGTTATATAAATAATTGATATTCTCATACACAACACACTTTTTTTTTTTAAATTCCATTTTGCACAAATGCATATTTAATTCTGAGCAAAATTTGAGATGGGATGATGTATATATTATATATACAAAATACGCAATATATATGCAAAATTGTTTTATTAAAATGTTTTATTATTTTGCTATAATATATGTATATATATATACATTTTTTTATCTATCTATCTATCTATCTATCTATCTATCCATATTTGCTCATAACTGCATATTACAATTATATATTTATTCATGCAAAACATTATTGATTATCTTCTAGTTCTAGTTTCAGCACATTCTGACTGATGCTTCCAAGACCAATATCTATCGTTCTATCGTTCCATCTATCTATTACATATATAAATGATATAATTTATATTTATCGATATATACTGTAATATCTGATCAAAATTGTTATTACATACATATATTATGTTTTGCTCATGACTGCATATTAAAATGATAGATTTATTATATAACAACATTTTGTCCTGACTGTTGCTTCTAAGACTATCACAAATCATTTTTGGAAATTCAACAAAACATTGCCAGATAACATTATCAGCAGAAACCGCAACAACACTGCAGAATAGAAAACCAAACAGAACAGAAAATCAAACAAAATTTGCAAGGCATTAAAAAAAAAATCAACAAATGTTCCTTATTGTTAAGCTCTACAACTACTCCTTGAAAACCTACCCAACTATTCATAAAAACCGTGAAAGAGGACACAGTCGTCCTTTGATATGCGCTTCCTGGTAACTTGAGGCCACGCATATCTAGGCTGAGCAATAAAACACAAAAGAGTTTCACATGTTTAATGAATGCCCACATTCACATCCAAAACTAACTAGCACCAGAAAGACACCCTTGCTAACAGCTGCATGGGAAGATGAAACAGAATAAAGAGCTTCGGCTTTATATAAGCCATTTCATAACTAAATATCCTGAAATGCACTACGGCTTCCTCCCCTGCCCCCTCTCTCACATCACAGGTGGTCGTTATCCCGCAGGGAAAGAGGAGGTTAAGAGGGGGCTGGGGAAGGACCTTTGGCTCTGGGTGGCCGAAGAATTGTGGGAAATAAAGATGGAGGCAGGAGGACGAAGACGAGTGGGTGCCGTCCACCGGGCGTCACCAGAGGCGAAGACAATCGGCGGGCTAAACGTTCCCACAGGGCTTTTGTGAAAACAGGAAATCTGGCACAGGCTTTAGGCCGTGCTGGCAAGGTAGCGGGCCTTGCTCGGATGTGGGTTGCCATGGCAACTGCCGAGCCCGGCTCGATGGATCAGCACAGGCGCTTGTACTTGCACACACATTCACACATACAGAGAGCGGATTGCCGAGTGTAGCTTTGCGCATCTAATTTTCTACGTGTATATGCAGCACCAAGATGCAAATTGTCGTCACCACGTGGCGGCTCCCTCCAGTTGTCATATTTTATCCTCCTTTTGTTTTCCGCTTTCCTTCCTTTGATAAACTAATTCGCATTTCCCTCCCGTTTCCATGCAAATCACAACTGGAACGGCCGAAATTGTTTTGGAAAAACAAAGGAGGCGCTAACAATGCGTGATAGTGCTGGCTGACTGGGTTAAGTGATGTAAAGCGCCCGAATGAAAGGAGGAGCGGCGGAGGGAAATAAACGAGGGGGTTCCTGTCCTCCGGGACGCACCGACACGTCTCCACCCTCTGCATAGACTTCACGATGACTGAAGTGCAAATGAACATGAATATATAGAGCGCAGATCGCTCTCAGGCCAGAGTTTGGGCATGACTGCGAATCAACGTTGAACTGACCTGAGCTTCTTTAGAGTTGAACTGAGTTCCATTCATAATATTGATTGAACTTAACTGAATCAACATTGACAATATTGTCTTTTTAGAGCAATGTTACAGCTGAAGTTGTATTGGTTTCACATTTGAAAAACCCAGCACTGTGATTTTCATTGTTATTACTATGAAGCCGCATGCTTTTCAACAATCTGTATTGAATAAAGCGCTATATAAATAACCTGACTTGAGGCAGAAGCAGACGACCGTGTGAACGGAGCGCAAAAATAACTCAAATCTTAAACGGAAATAGTCTCAGCAGCCAACAGCTGGACCGCACTGCAATTACACACCAGCGCTAACACCTCTGAAGCAATTACACTCATTTACTGACCACAGACAGAGCTGCAACTCGCTCTTTTTTTTTTTTACTGCCAGTGGGAACTTATTGTGTGTTTCTAAGCGAAATTACAATTGCAGCAGAATGTTTGCTGGTTTCTGAGAAATGTACAGATGTTTTTGTTTTCAAATGAGGTTCTCAGAACAACTCAGACATCCAATTAAAAATAATTTTCCATACGCAAAACACCTCTTGAATAAAAAAAATCATAAATGTTGTAAAAGTTAAAATAAAAAACAAATATTGCATATTTGCACTAGATTAAAAAAAAGAAGAAAACTCCTTTTGACTACATTAAAATTACTCAGCCCCAAAATAAAAACTGTCATAATTTACTGACCCTCAGGTTGTTCTAAACCTGAATGAATTTCTTTCAGCAAAAGAAGATATTTTGAAGAATGTTGATAACTAATTAGTTGACGGTAGCCATTGATTTCCATAGTATGGAAAAAAAACTACACAAGTCAATGTCTACATCAAATGTTTGTTTACCAGAATTCTTCAAATTATCTTCTTTTGTGTTCAGCAGAAGATAAAAACCCTTACAGGTTTCTAACAAGTGGAGGGTGAGTAAATCATGACAAAATTTTAATTTTTAGGTGAACTAGGTGAATCAATGATAGTGCTGTCAAACGATTAATCGCGATTAATTGCATCCAAAATAAAAGTTTTTGTTTACATAAGATAGGTATGTGTACTGTGTATATTTATTATGTATATATACACACACACATGGATGTATATATTTAAAAAAATACGTTATTTTTATATATTAAATTTATTTATTTATAATATAAAGTATATGAATATAAATAGACACGTAAATATTTTCAAAATATATACTGTATGTGTGTGTGTTTATATATACATAATAAATATACACAGAACATATATTATGCAAACAAAAACTTTTATTTTGGATGTGATTAATTGCGATTAATCGTTTGACAGCACTAATCAATGATGAACTGACTTTAACTGGAAAATTGAGTGTTTACGACAAAATTTTAATTTTTAGGTGAACTAGGTGAATCAATGATAGTGCTGTCAAACGATTAATCGCGATTAATTGCATCCAAAATAAAAGTTTTTGTTTACATAAGATAGGTATGTGTACTGTGTATATTTATTATGTATATATAAATACACACACATGCATGTATATATTTCAGAAAAATTTGTTATTTTTATATATTAAATTTATTTATTTATAATATAAAGTATATGAATATAAATAGACACGTAAATATTTTCAAAATATATACTGTATGTGTGTGTGTTTATATATACATAATAAATATACACAGAACATATTATGCAAACAAAAACTTTTATTTTGGATGTGATTAATCGCGATTAATCGTTTGACAGCACTAATCAATGATGAACTGACTTTAACTGGAAAACTGAGTGTTTACTATCGTCCTCTAGCATTATCGACACACTATTTATCTGTTTAATACTGTAAAGCTGCTTTGACACAATCGGGCATCTTGGTAATGTCCCGACTTTTCGACAAAGGCAATAATTGTAAAAGTACTCATGCTATCGGAGTAGAGAAAAACATGTTTGTCAAGGTTACACTTCAACAATACATCTCACATCAGCAAAAAAACTACGAAGAAAAAAGTCCGGTCCACTGCACATTCTATAATAAGCAAACAGGTGACGTCTTGATGGAAGAAGCCAACTTTTTTTCGACAGATGCTACGGGCAGAAGTCGTCATAGTTGGGTAAACTTCTATAGTGGTGAATGGAAACTACAACAAAAGCAAATGAAAATATCCACAACAGCATTTCTATAACTTCTCAAAAGATTAAACAAATATCTGTTGCATTAGAAACAACAATGCAGCAGCTATGACAAGTTTCTAAAATGTAATGGCAAGGTAATATAACACAAAGAATAGTTTTATAAAAAAAGACACCATTTATTTATTTAGCTAGATTTATAATATTCATAACTGCAAATGCGTCACAGCAACAAAAAAAAAATGTGAAAAGGGTCCATTGAATATTATCATTACGATTCCTTTTTTTCAACAAGCATCTCATCTCTTCCTTAAAGACTGTGCACATAAGAAATGTTTGTGTCCAGAAACAGCTACTTTTTTTTTTTATGAATTCCTTTTAACATGACAGCATCTTAAAAAATGGAGTGCTGAAAAATAGACACTAAAAAGGCAGCGAACACAAGACATCCAACTAGCGTATGTTTACATACAAGAACAACTGCAGACAGATACCTTATAAACTAATATGATGAAACTCCTCTTTATATATATAAAAAAAGTAACATTCAGAAATATTAAGGAAGATTTATTAACAAATAGATACAGATATTAACAGACAAAGCTCTGATAAAGGGAGATTTTAAAAAAATCATTTTAATAAGCACTCTAGATTAAATTATGCATGTGGTTTTGATTAAGCAAACACTTCCTTATCTACAAACATCTGTCTAATCCAGCTCTTCTGCTTTCAGTGAGTATCACGACACATCTGTGCTGTGTTTGTCTGTATCAGTAAAGCCAACTGAATTTCAGCCATCATGATCTGACCACAAAGAGACAGATTTAAAAAAAAATGTAGCTTATCACTACATAATGAACTGTAAAACTTTAAAATAAGGATTTATTTAAGATTAATTGGTGCATTTAGTATTATGATTTATGAACAATAATGGGGGGGGCATAGTACAATTGCTGACAACGTGGATAATGGTGGCTGTGAAGGAAACTAGTTCAATAACTGTGAATCCAATCAAACCCGGCTGGAAGTTTCACACGTCACATGACATCTCTGACGATCGCACTTACGATTGCAAGACGCTGCAGTTGTAGAAGATGAAATTGGTGGAGATGAATTTGAGACCCGTCTCTTTGGACTTCAGAGAGAGCTTCACGACCCGTTTATCGCCTGGAAAAGAACGTAAAGAGACAGTAATGAAGAGAAAGGCGAAGAAAATGCAGGAGAAATGAAGTTAGCATGAGAAAGGCTGTTTGAACCGGCACTGATGGTCTAATGCAGACAGCACAGCATCTGTGTCCCTCTCTGCACATATACTCACTAATGTTCACATTTCTAATACATTTGATTGCGAGACCATTTATCCACTTCTTCCATCTGTGAGCGAAATGCACTTATGTTTCAAACTCAGCAACCCTTTTGCGTTCCATAATGACTACATCTCTGCCCATCAAATTATACTTGTGGGCCTCACTTCACTATAATTGACATAATATTTCCATTTGGACATGCAATAATTGTTATTAATGGGAATACCAGGCTTCCGGAGTCTAAAAGTTACCATCAGGAGATTTTGAATTCTTAGAGTACCTTAAAAACCAGAAAAAAAATGAAAAGGGGGGAAATGAAGTAGGTCTCAAAGCTTCAGGAGGCTCAGAAGAGATTCATGTAATTATCAGTCATCACAAATGTAAAAAAAAAGACCGGCACAAAACGGGAAACACGGAAGGAATAAATTAAATCAAATTAAATTTTATTTCGAAAGCGCAATTTGTTCGAAGCAGCTCTGCAGAGCAGCTTAATAGACTTGGTCAGAGTAGATGCATTTCATTTGACGCAAATGAAAACGAGGTCGTGAGTGATGCATATTCAGTCTGACTGAGGAAAGATTGAAAATATGTTTCCACAAACTTCAAATGGACAAACAACCCTGTAAAACACGGCTCGTGGTAAACGTCAAATGTAATCCCCTTTGTAATCGTTAACATTTTCATAAGTAACTGTAATTTAATTACACATTTTTTCTTAGTAACTGTAACTGATTACAGTTACATTTATTTTGTAATTAAATTACGTAACGCCGTTACATGTAACTAGTTACTCCCCAACACTGACGGTTTGACCTTAAGACAGCACGAAATATTTGATTTTGCTCATACCAAATTAAACATGAAATAAACATGAGACGATTAAATGTAAAAACAAATTAAAATGAAATCTGCACACTGTAAAAAACTCTTATAATAAAGTTTATTATGCTCAGTATTTGATCAAAAATACAACAAAACAGTAATAATGTAAAATATTACTACAATTTAAAATAACTCTTTTCTATTTGAATGTTCAAGCTGTGGCAAGCTGAATTTTCAGCATCATTACTTCAGTCTTCAGTGTCACATGATCCTTCAGAAATCAGTCTAATATGCTAATTTGCTGCTCTAATTATTATCAATATTGAAAACAGTTGTGCTGCTTTTCAGATTCCATTTTATTCTAAACAGGTGATGTTGGAAAGGAAATCCCCCAGGATGGAATGAGAATGAAACATTGGGAGGAACCAAGACTCAGCAGGAGGAGCCCATGCTAAATCATTTACAATATTAGACATATGATATTATGATGATTAAAGAAGCCATTAGTGCTGTCAGTAAGACCCGTCTGAGATCCTTTGCTGTTCAGACCTTGTCAGGGTAGATGCCATATTCAATATAACGTGAATGAAAATGGGTTGAACTTGAGGTTGCATTGAAAATGCATTTTTTTAGTGGACTACACAACATGGGTTGTGTAAATTAGACATGGCCAAGGACATTATAACAACCTATTGAATAAATTACACATCTGTCCCTCAGCCTCATTGTCAAATTAAACGCTGTGTTTACTCTTATTAAGAGTCTTAGTATATAGACGATGGCTCAACCATGGAATGGTGGAAGAAGGGTTTAATTTAGCTGAAATATATAACACAACATGGGCAGAAAATGTTTTATGAATTCATAATATCACAGCTTTTTACAATCCAATCATATCCAAATAGAAAAAAAATCAAGTCTCCTCCTATATTATTTCCAATTTCAAAACACATCACACTGCTGATGTCAAGCATTTTAAATGGCATTTCATGTTTCTTACCGTATCCCTGGGTGACAGATGGGACGTCCCGCAGGGATGGGGACATGCAGAGGATTTGTCCGTTGGCCAGCACTTCTCCTGGACTCTCCGTTAGCTCCTCAAACACACACGTCACCCCAGCGGAGAGGTTCGGGACGTTAGCTACCTTCACACTCAGCTGGAGCACAAACACAAACACACACGTTCTCCTGTCAGACATGCTAGATCATCACGTGAGCCGCCTGATTAAAATGTGTAAAAACAGCGTTTTAGCACGGTTCTGTAAGCATTAATGGAAAAAAAAATATTAAAAAATCAACTAAAAATTTAAATTCTGTCATCTTTTACTCACTCGCATGTCGTTTTAAAGCTGTATTTTTTTTTTTGCAAGAAACACAAAAGACGAAGATTGAAGAATACTCTATAAATAAATAGTAATCTACAAATTTATAATATAAATATTTTTTAACTCAGGTGTTATATAATGAGAAACGTACTTTGTCATTTATAATTTGTTTTAAATAATCTGATTTCGTTTCCAAATAAAGAGACAGTAATAAAAAAATGATCCAGATTATCTGAAAATATTTTAGTAATTTTAATTTAATTCACCATAAAAATAACCATATTGATATAATACAATATAAAATTACAGCAACACTTCAATTCAAAGTTTAATGCATTAAATATCATAAACTAACAATAATCCCCTGTTTTATAGCATTTACTAATACAGATTATTATTAAATTCTATATTATTATTTCAAGAAACAGAAAAGATGAAGACTGAACAACATTCTATAAATACATGATCTATCTATAAATCTAAATCTAGAATTAATCTTACACATGCATAATAAAAAAAAAACACTTCTACTTTTGCATTTCTTCTCTTCTCTAGTTGTCTAGTAAATCTCACATTGTATATTACGAATACTGCTGGCTCTCTGACAGATTGCTTTTGTTAAATGCATAAATTTCAATATAATCAATCCCTGAGCTGCTCTTTTCCATATAATTATCAAATCAAAACTGGGTCTGTCAAGTCCAAAAATGACAAAAAAGCACCATAAATGCATAATAAAATGCCATATGTTAGATCTGTGTGACAGATCGATATATTTAAGCCATTCTTTACTGAAAATCATCCCGTTTGCTGAAGCTCTACAGGTTTAGTGTGAGTAAATGATGACAAAATTTGTATTTTTGGATGAGCCATCCCTTTAAATCATTTCCACCTTGTGATATTCATTCTCATACAGCACGTTTTTATCAAAGCATTCATTATACTGTAAAAGCAATACTAATAAAGGACGCCGTTGTGAGTGTCCATAATAAAAATGAATTATGAAGATGGTTGCAGCTACTTCTGGAGTAGCATATAAACTCAATCACCTGTGTGGAAGCAGAGGTCACGGACATGTTATCAGGAGTGACAGTGATGTCGACACACTGTTTCAGTTCCGTACTGAAGTGAAGCGGCTCGGCCCACTTCTCGCAGGCTTCCTTTCTGGAGCACCTGGAAACAAACAAACAAACGGATGAGTAAACAGAAACATCCCGACTTGGCACAATAGCCTGGTGCTGGCTTGATAAGGCGTTCGCCGAGAGCAGCGGCCCGTCTCATTCAAGCTTCAGTGAGCATGATTTTCCTTTTCCCTGTCCACTCAGACCAATGCATGTCAAATATCCACCGATATCCACAGTCCCCGCAAATGGATCAACAATACAAAATGCTTTTGATGCTGCCGATATGGAGCTACATGTTGGACAGAATAGACTCATATACCATGCAATGGCAGAAATGTGTAGATTTATATCTGTGCGTGAGAGGTCAGGGTGCTCTTCATTATTTACACATGATAATGACAAAAACATTGAGTAATGTGACTTGTCCCAAATAATGGTGAAAAACTTTGCAGTTGTCAAGAAACGTTGCAACCTGAATACTGCAGCATTCATATCTAATTTAATTGTGTGTGTATATCACTTTAAATGTGGCTTATCCAATCAAATTTTACAGTCAGAACCATATTTTTATGGCAGCGGCTATTTGCACTAAGTGTAAATAGCATATTTTCTAAGCGATAGATAATATTTACACTAAGTGCAAATAGCATATTTTCTTGGCGATAGATAATATTTACACTAAGTGCAAATAACATATTTTCTTGGCGATAGATAATATTTACACTAAGTGCAAATAGCATATTTTCTTAGCGATAGATAATATTTACACTAAGTGCAAATAGCATATTTTCTTGGCGATAGATAATATTTACACAAAGTGCAAATAGCAGTATTTTTTAACGATATGCTATTTACGCTAAGTGCAAATAGCTATAGATTCTATTTACACTTAAAACAGCAAGATTTTCTGCTATTTATACTACTTATTGCAAATAGTAGCAATTATCTGCACCTCAGTATTGTAGTACATTATAAAACAGTACGCAATAATAATGTATTGAGTGTAAATTATAATTATAATTCAAATTATTAAATGGATGCCACCTTATTGGGACAATAAAGCCTTCCCTATACCTACCCGATACTTTATTTTCACCTTTTTGATTATTTCCTTCATTTTTATTGAAAATAAATGCCTTTCCGATGCGATATGAGATTTGAAAAGGGAGAAAAAAAAGCCTTACCATCTGCTAAACTGAAACTGATGTTTGACAACAGTCTTTTTTCAGTGTTAACCTTCCAAATCAGACGTTGGTGGTGGGCGGAGTTAGTGTAAATAGCCACTCCGTATTTATATACCCTTCCAAATCAGACGTTGGTGGTGGGCGGAGTTAGTGTAAATAGCCTCTGCCAACAAGGCGGGCTATTTGCACTTAGTGTAAATAGACACTCCGTATTTATATACTGTTTTGAGTGTATAACTTAGACTGTCATAATGTGAGGCTTGCCAATAATTTACAATTAATCTGATTTAGTTTCCAAATAAAAAAGGAAAAATGTATTACTAAAACAAATTGGGAAAAAATGCAAATTTTTGGCAGATTTAATTATCCAGATTATCTGAAAATATTTAAGCCATTTTCAATTGAATTCACAGTAGATGTAAACATACATAATGCTATACTCAGTTTCCACAATAATAAAAAAAATGACAATAACGCTTTACATCAAGGTGTAATTCATTAACATTAGCTAATGCATCAGACATCAAACTAACAATATATTTTTAGAATTTAATAACGCAGGTTAATGTTAATTTCTATTTATTAATTATATTTGATTTATTAATACATTGTTAACATTGTGTTAATGTATTATGATTAAACATGAGTAAATAAACTGAAATATAAATTAATATAATAGATATATAAATGTATAATGTAGAAATATGACAAGTATTAAATCTAATCTTAAAACAACAATAAATAAAACTAAAATTATATAAATATAAAACAATATAAATAATAAATATAATATAATAATATAATAATAAATAATATAAATATAACATGATATAAGTATTAAATCTAATCT